GGGGCGGGGGGGCTGCAGGCCACCAGCTACTCACTGCGAGCCGGTAACTCTGCATCATTTTATCAAACTCCTCATCAATCTTTTTATATTTCTCTTCCGTCTGCGGGGTCAGCGCAAACACTTCATCCCCTTCCGGGCTCTCGCACTCCCTGTGCTTCTTGTTCAGCGCCTGTTACGTTTGGGGGGGGGACACGGGGTGGGGGTGTTGGGGAGGGAGCAGGGGACGAGGTCGGGAGGAAGTCGAACAGAAGAGAAACAAAACAGAAAAGAACATATAATGAAGGTTTTCCAGCCATGGGCAGGTACTTACACCGTATCGCTTGAACAGGATATCCAGATCCTCGCTGCCTTTGCGGTATTTATCCTCCATCAGAGGGCTCTGGTCTATGGAGTCGTCACCGTCGGGCTCCGGGCTGTCACAGCCGTTAAAACCTTTCTTTCTTAATGTCTGAAAGCACAATCGTGACAGTCTGAGATCCTGTGTGGAGTGGGGATGGGGAACACAGGCAGGTCCCCCCCACCAGAACACCCACCGGCCCGGACGGGCCACGAGTCGCCCTCGCACAAATCAACAGCATCGCCCCAAGGTGCTGCTGACCTCAACAGGGTCAAAAAGCCAGGATAGAGATCCTAGGTTGTGATGACAGGGCGTCTCTAATTTAGGAATTGCAGCATGGGGAGGAATGGAGAGAAACTTCCTTGCTTTCAAAGGTTCTGTTTACGCTGGAGCTGAACTTGGCCCCACACCAGCTCAGGCGCATTCGTCACCTACAAGTACGACACCACGGAGGGGAAATAAACCTTGATGCCCTCTGCTCTACTGCAAAAACCTGCTTACAAACAGGAAAAGAAAAACCCCAAATTCTAAGCAAAGAGTAGCTCATCCTTGACAAAACCAGACGGGTGGCATTTACCAAAGGCAAAGGTGCAACAGGGAGAGCATCGCAGGACAGGGCACGTGGCACAGTGACAGCTGCGAGCTCTGCTGGGGGTGGCACGGGGGGTGACAGTGACAACACCGGGCAGCAAATCCCAGGCCAAGACTGGGCTCACGAGCAGGAAAGGTCTCGAGCACTGCTGCATCAAGGCAACAAGGTGACACCTCCTCCTCAGGAGGAGCCCAGTGACCTCCCGTCCTGGCCACACACAGGGGATGGGGACACCCCAAAGTCCCTCGCTCATGCTCAGCAGCCAGTTGAGATCCACGTTTAATCGCTCTATTTTCAACATACCAAAAGCAATCAGGCGTTATGACGGAACCAGCACTTGCCAACTCGTTGGTTTTTTTTTTTTTTTTTTAGAAGTCAAAGCTACAGAATTTCCTGGAAGTCTTGGTCCCTTTTCGTGCCAAAATCAGCAGTAGGGGGAAAAAAAAAAAAAGTCTTGACAATTCTCTGTCTTCCTAAACAGCAATAAACATCTCCATTCTGAGGCCAAAGCGTGTTGAGGAGTGGCTCTTCCACTCCCTGTGAGCTCTGGGAAACACAGGGCTCGGAGGGGAAGTTTTGCTGGAGAGAATAAAAGCCGGGATGTCTCCAGAAAGGCTGGGAATGTCGCAGGTAGGATACGCTCGGCACTGGTCCCACACAGCACTGGTGCCACACGGCTCCACTCTTCCTGCAGGTCTGGCTTAGGGGATGCTTGTGCCAGGTGGCCACGGCCAAGCAATGGGCACCACACCCACCCCCAGCCCTGCTCTCCATCCAGCTGAAGCTTTTCACAACATTTTCCATTAGAACTGCTCCTTCCGTGGCGCCATTTCCACCCTCGTTACCGGATTCAGTCGCAGAAGGGAAATGTCCTCGTCCAGCTCCAGCTCCAGCAGGGAAGGACCAGGCTCACTCCTGGCCACAGTGGCACCTGACACTCTGCTTGGCATTACCAGTAATTCCTGCTACCTAGTAACTATTAGCTAATTACCTAATAATAATGATTCTGAATAATTCTTATACCTAATAATAATCTTCCTAATAATTCCTGGTACTGCCAATTCCTGTGTTGTCTCTCCATAGAGAAAGGCAGCGGGAATTGGAATTACTGCCATGAACAGTAGAGAGATTCCCAGAGCTTGAGTTCTGCAGGTTCCCGAGGATTTTTCCCTACTATTTTTCTATTTTTGTATGTGTCCTTGTTTGTTCTGAGAACGGCCCAAAAGAGGAAGAGCCGCTGCTGGTGGGGAAGGAACAGCTTTGCCTTTCTTTTTTTTTTTTTTTTTTTTTGAAA